TAATGAGGGTTCAGCCGGGAGAAAACGAGGAAGGGGTAAGGTTTATCAAATAAGGTGACATAACCTTGAATGCGTTCACTGGTATGTCACCCGAAGACCGACATTTACGCCTTCAACATTAAAGAGACAAAAAGGAAGAGAAGAAAGAGACACGAAAAGATTGTTCGTAAATTTACAAATTTTTGAAAAGAAGAAAGATTTCCCGTTCCAATAATTGTTGGAATTTCTCTTTAATTGCCGCTTTTCTCAAAGTCTTTACCTGTTTTGGTTTCATTTTTCCTACGAAAATATGAGTAATTATTGGCAAACAGCATTGTTTTGGAATGGTAATACGTGACTTGTATGTGACCTGTCATGTGAAATGTCATTATTATTAGAGATGGGACAGTAGCTTTTGTTAGTGATGCAATGGATCAGTTAGGATGACTGGGTTTACTTATTTTTCCCCTTCATCTAATTTATTTGTAAATTAAAATTTTGAATTTATTATGTATTGTTCGCAATGACAATGAATACCTGTGGAATTTGCGAATTTCGTTAAATTACTACTGGCAAGGTAATTAATTAGTTGAGGAATAGTAATTGATTGGAAAGTTAAGAAATGTAGACAAAGAGACAAGCTGGTGATAAAAGAATCTCATTCCATTTTGACCCCTCCCGGTTGACCAGCACAACATTACGTTAATCTTAACCTTTGTCTTTTTTTTTTTTGATCAGAAGAAAATTGATCAGTAAACCAATAAGTTATTACCTTTCTAGTCGTTCTGCTCATTATGACTTTCCGGTTTCATTGAACACCTTCATCTTAATGATGAAAAGTAACGATCTACCATATCTTTCCAGAATACTGTACATCGTAAGCTTATATTTTGTAGATGTTAAATGCAAAACTATTCCTTGGATCAGAAAAACACTAACAGTTTATGTTTCTGTATAAGAATGTGACTAGAAATGATGGGAGGAAAACCAATAGATATATTTTCATCGATATAGTTAAAGAATTTAACAGTCCTTCACCGTAAACTTCACCAAATTGGAAAGTGACTGTATTCTGGGATATCTCAGTAGAAAGTCCAAAGTTCTAAATTTAATCTTGAAAAAATTACAGCTAATCAAACATTGAACAGTTATAAAACTAGTATCCAAGATCGAAAACCAGATAAATCGGAAATACCATCCGATTATTGAGGTAAATAATCGGATGACAAAAACAGGAAAGTGGAAACGAAAAGTCGTCGGAAGGGAAAAAAAAAGACGCTTAGTATTTTTCGGAATGGTTAAATTAAAAATTCGAAAACTATATTCTAAACTGTGTTCTTTTGGATTTCATATAATTCTTGCGTAGTCATAAAAGAAATACGTTAGAAAGATGAGCTGAAAATAAAAAAGCCAAAGACTAAGTATTGTAGTAAAAACAGAAAACCGGAAATTCATTGTTTCTCAGGAAATCCGAAATTCATTGTTTCAAAGATGACTTATTGGAAAATTTAGACCAAAATGAATAGATAGTTTAGCTAAGCTTTATTAATTCATTCCCTATAATGAAAAACTGAAATAGATCCAGCCAAGATTTCTTATATGTCTCCGAATATAAATGTAATTCATTAAAATAATAATTGCTTACTTTTTACTAGCCATTTTACCTTCCGGCAACATATCACTTTATCAATTAACTTACCGTTTATCTTTTTCTTCTTTTAATTTATAACTTCTTACAATATTATCATTATCACTAAATGATATATAATATCATCATTATCACTAAATGCCAAATAATTGCTTGGACTATGGGAAGATTATTTAAGGCTAATATCCTAGTTAACAGTTTTTAAAAGTATTGTCATTTGTTGTTAAGTTATTGTTTGGCTTATGATTTTAATTATATATGATGAAATGATTGATGAAACAATAAACGTTTATGTTAGTTACAATTTCACATCTCCTTTAATAATATCAAATATAATCTCGTAAAACTACCCATCTCTCTCTCTCTCTCTCTCTCCCCCTTTCCCTCTCTCATATTCAAAAGTTTTGGCATAAAGCAAACGTTGAGTTCGTCGTTTGTTTATTCGTAACATGTTTATCAAACTTTTTAACTTCTTTCAAAATCTTGAAATAATCATTAAGGCGGTAATGTCCCTCCCTCTATTTCTAATCATTAATGTGGTAATGTCTCTCCCTCTATTTCTGCTCTCATTTTATCATTACCAGTTATTCATTTATTTCTATTTAAAATAGCTCTATTCAAACTATTTTCGCCTCTTTGCTTAAAATCACAGTGAATACTTACCTTATATTTCATTTATATTCAATGTCCCCAATGTCCCCTTCGTCATCACGACATAGCGGGATGGAATTGGGAAAGGACGAAAATAAAGTCCGGCCATTATGTTATACAGTTATTCCAGGATAGTTTAAATAAAACATATGAAAAAATATTGCACAACTCTATCAATTATCAATTATCAATTGTTCACTATCCAATGGAAGTAACACTTATCTATTATCAACATTCTTCCATGGTATATATCAGCTACGAGATGATCTATTATTATTTGTTCTTCTCTTCCTCTTCACTTAAATTTCTCTCTACTTATCACATTTTCTCTAATCATTTTACTATCCTCTAATTGTACCATTAATTTTCTTCAACAGTTTTCGTTTAGCAATAAGTTTTTTTTTTAAGACTATATCAAATATCAATCGTTCTCTTTTTTTTCATCTATTCAATCGCCCCTCCTTCTTCTCCCTCCTCTCTCTCTCTCCCTCTTTCCCTATCTCTCTTTCTCTCTCTATCTCTTTCTGTTATTCATCATCTATTATGTAGTCAAGAAAATTTTTTCTTTTACCCAATCCGCGCAAAAAAAAATATTTGAAAATAAAATAATTTTGATAGTAGTATACAATGCTCTCTGTCTCTCTCCCTCTCTCTCTTTTTTTTCTCTCTCACTCTTATCATACTTTCCCTGTTGAGCATAGATTTATAAAAGCATACCGCTATCAATTGCTATCATTGGAGGATAAGAAAAGTTAGAAGGAAGAAAAAGAGTGGGTGGCAGTCTTAGTCATGCCATTTCCACAATTGAGCTAAGCTAATCCATTCCTAAATTTTATCGCAATTCATTCACTAAACCTACCCCAGACTAAACTCCTCCTTTTCTCCAATATTTATGACTCTCTTTTTCTTTCTTCCTTCTCATTCCTCTCTCCTCATCTCTCATGTTCTCAATCATTGTCATCATTACAAGATTTAATTCTCTAGAATTTTTTTTAACTTCTAATCAAGTACTACCTTATCAGATTACATAGCCTTTATAGCAATCCATCTCTCTCTCTCAAACATTCACTCTATTGTCATTACTCTCAATCTTTCAAGCAATCTTTCTCATACATCTCGCCAAACATCAACCTGTCTCTCAAACATTCACTCTGTCGCCATTACTCTCAATCTTTCTCATACATCTCGCCAAACATCAACCTGTCTCTCAAACATTCACTCTATCGCCATTACTCTCAATCTTTCAAGCAATCTTCCTCATACATCTCGCCAAACATCAACCTGTCTGTTTATTTGCAAACGCTAAACAAAGAGTTTATTTAAATAATTGAAATTTCAATTCGAAATTAATTTCAGCGGTTTACTTTGAATACTTATTTAAGCTAGAGGTTTTTTTTCCCCGTTTCATTCACAATAAATATTCGCTTATTTCGCCTGGAATTCGTTATTTTTTAATTTACATATCTAATTGTATGAATGATTCATCCATTACTTTATATTTTACCATTGTATGAACCATACGATAATCAATATTACCAATATAATATTGATAATATATCAATATAATATTGAATATTATCAATATAATATTGATCATTCATAGACTAGTAAAGCCATAAGGTACTAGTTCATATCTGAGTTCAATATCTTGTGGCTCTACTAAGCGATATATATATATATATATATACATATATATATATATATATATAT